AAGGTAATTTGCCTAGTCCATAAGACCTCTTATTCACGAGATTTGACTGTATTTACAGACAAACCCTTCGAGTAATTCATGGGGAAAAAAGTACAAAAATCCACCGGTTCACGAATTGGCATCTGCATCTTTAATGCTTCATGGTCTTATAAAAGATTTCAATTGAGTGAGACAAAGATGTCTACAGGCTGTGACCTTAAATAAGGCCACAATTCATCAAGACCAGGCCTTCAAAATGAAGAGTTTGCTAACAAAAGACAATGGTATGTTGCTAACAAGGCTGTTGTTGATTATTCCTGGTTATGTATGCTTTACACGTCTTCCACCATCTGGGGTGAGACTGGAGGTAATTACATATCCACGGAATTACCATCGGAGGTTTTAAGAGCCCACAGCAACTGAAGGTCTATAGTTTACGTGTAAATTTATATTTGCCTACAGGCACCCCTTAATATATCTATTTCTTGCATTCTATGTCAATTTTTATAGTGTACACAAAAACAATCTTAATTGTAAACTCAGTTTCAAAAAAGATTTAAATTTCCTGAAATTGGAAAAAAAACCGGATGAAAAAATGCTGACAATCTCACCCCAGCACCATGTACCTCTTACAAAATAACCTTCAGCGAAGTTAAATGTGACAGCCATGAATGAGTCCTACGGTGAGAAACTTGTATCCTGGGCATCAACGTTAACAAGCAAGCACACAAGGTTAGGCTCAGCAACGAGGAGCTACAGCATTAGAGGTTGTGGCTGGGACAAATTGCCTCGTTTGGGTCTGCCTTTTAGTCATCTTCAATTTTGCTGGAAAAGAAATAAAATAAGTGCATTATAAAGCTTTTCTAATAAAAATCTGTACACACAAGCAGCAGCAGGACTGCAAGCAAAGTTTTCTCAAAAATGATTTCAATGAGCAAATATTGGGTGAACAATTTGAACAAAACATTCCAAAATGAGGAGCATCCTGCCTTACGTCACAGCAACAGCGCCCTCATTTGTCAGGAAAAGCGTGGAAACTTTAAATGTTTAAAAGTGTACTTTTCAATGAGAGACACCGATGAAAAAACCAAAAAGGCATGCCAGGTAAGTTTCTTCCTTTTCTGAGGAGTGGAAATTGGCAAAAAAGATCACCAAAGTAAAAAAATTCACATCATGGACTATTAAACCTCTTCATTTGTTTTACAAATGTTTTAGCCTCCAGATTGGGAGATCTACCTCGTGGTTAGAATGAAGCTTTGATACCTCCAGGACTGAAGAAAAACAGAACTGGAATCACCAAGCCAAAAAATATTCAGAAGCTTGGGAAGAACAATTCACTTTTCTGGAACTTGGATGTCTCCCCTAAGTAAGATTTGAAACATTTCACTGTTTTTTTAGAAGAGATTGATTTCACAGGTATACCTACAAACCCTCACTCTTCGTCTATGTCTCCACTAGTAAATGTCCGATTTCTTCCCTTCTTACATTAACTAATACAACGACCAACAACATAAACATAAACAAGATACCATTGGAATTTATACATTACCTGTCCTCGATCTCCTTAGTTTGGGGGTAGTACACCTTAAAGCCAAAACCGCTTTTGGAAAAAGAACCCTGAAAAAAACAAAACCGAACAGACCTTGAAGACTTGATGCACTGAATGCTTACGTCTTGAGGCTCAGTTCATTTTATGCAAATATAACACCGAGGTACCTTATTCAGACTTTTAAAGAGGCTTACCGTATTGGTACACTTGCAATTTGCGTTGCTGATGGTGAAGGGGTCGTACTTGTCCCCAAACACGACCAGATCTGGCAGGGGATAGAGTCTCATGGCATTGTCGTAGGACCAGTAGATCGGGGATGCGTGGAGGGGGAGAGGGCAGAGATGGGACTGGCACACTACCGTCTTGACAAACTGAAAAAAACAGTGAGCAAACGTACAGTTAAAATGTAAATAGTTGGTGAACTGTGAACTTGCAGTGAAGTCAGCTATCTTCAAATCTAAGAACGAGTCTCTACTATAAACAGTTATGCAGGTGAAGTTGCAATGCAAGATCCGAGTGGGAGCCACAAACTTCTTGCCAACATACACAGGAAAATAAAACTGTGTCTGCCTTGTCACAGAGTTATTTGGCACTGATTAGAATTAGCGATAAATACAGCGTTACTAAGACTCATCTAAGATGGAAATTGAACTTCTTCCGATTGCTATCACTTGATCTCAAGAGAGTACCTACACGTATTTTTGACATAGGGAAATATTTTCAAAATATGATTTCAACACAAGCTTTCGCATTCCTGCTACTCACGTGATTGGGAATTTCTGCACTGTTGTCCGGGAAACGGATGCAGTTCCGGCACATCTTCATGACGATGTCCTCTCGAAACACAACAATCTCCTGGGTGCAGTACTGTATCCTAACAACGGAGCAACAAGAAAATTACAGCAGGCAAAGGTCACTGCCTCTGCGAACGTTCAAGGCGCTCATTTGACAGCCACTTTTAAAAAGCAGCGTTTTGTAGTTCAGAAGTCCCAATCTTGGTGTGTTTACATTGACCCATCGGATTGAGACCTTTTAGAAACTTTAACTGTGAAAATGATGGGTCTGATTTTATAAATTGTGTATGATGATGCAAAAACTGAAATACACATCAGTTTCTTTGAAATAAAGTGCTTCGTATTTAAATTCCATGTCTCCATTAGCACACAGATTGATTAGTTTTATGGCACTGCTCGCCACATTTACTTGCTTATCAAAACTAAGTTTGAAACCACCAGCAAGCAAGTACCAGTCGCACAAATTTAAGCTTCTTGCCTGTTACTGCAAAGCGCCAACATTTTGGGGCCAAGCAATTTCAGTGTTAATCAGTTCAACCATGCTGGCCCAAAACACACATCAACTACAGTGCAAATACATGTATGCCTATTTTTTTATAATGCAAAAATTTTCATCGAGGAAATTAAAAAAAACTTGCCATGATGTCCTTGGAAATTCTGTTGCCTTTAACTTTAATATGCTGTCACAATGGAGAATCTTTGTACGGATTTGTTTTATCTATGCTTACCTGCATGGGTTTGTAGTGAATATGGCGGAAGGGACTTTACGACAAAACTCTTCCGTGATCACTTCTGGAATGGGAGGCCTGGGTGTTAAGACAAAACAAACAGCAAAACCTCTCATGTGATCACAGCTTGTCTTTTTTCATAACTTCTTCGATCAAAGTGCTTGCTAGCACTTTGCACCTTTAACGCGCTCAACAAAAGCATACCATTCCAGAGGTATAGTGAGTTGACCAATCAACACACTCTGAAGTCCATGTACTGATGCAATGACATGACCGAAAGCACAAAGCATTTTGCCATAGAATGCTTAGCAGTTTTTTTAATCAAGTACCAATGAATTGGCAAGGGCAAATATCAATATACCTTGTGAACGCAAAGAGGTGTTCTTTCCCTTTTGGACATAATTGCTGTTATAACAAATGCTACTTCCGTTTCACTTAGCAACGTACGATGGATGATATGTATCATGTACCCTTGTGTGAAAGAAAACGAGTAAGTTTCTGTCCCCTACATTCTTGGTGAGACACTGCCTTGTTATGAGGTGAAGATTTCTCCTAAAAACTGGCACACCTTAAGTTCTCTGGAATGGGAATGGGAACCTTACCCTTTTGATGTACTGTATGATGTGTCAATCCAGTGCTTTGCTTTAAAGTATGCTGTGAAAGATTTATCACTGATCAGTTTGAAGTCCCAATTCATACCTAGGCAGAATTGCCGCTGGTCCGGGATCTTGCGGTCCAGGAACAAAGATGAACCGACTGCTCTGAAGCAGGGTGGGATACTCTGCCAACATGTCACCAAGAGATTGTAGTGACTCTGCAGGGACGAAAGAAACACTTCCTGAGCATAATCCTTCACAAGAGTTACTTTCTTTCTTTTCGTGGTTTTGGTAAGGACATTCTGCACATCATCAAAGTCAATACAGCGATGTAAATTTAAGACATCTTGTTGTCATTTACAAAACTAGGCAACTCAAGCCCCATGTAAAGCAATAGTTGTCGCTGTCCTTTAACCACCAAAGTAAAGCAAACCAATTTTGCATTTTGAATGCGTTATAGAGGCATTTCCCTCACTTGAAGTACATTACAATCGCCAATGTTGTAGCTGAGACCAGTCACAAGACCAGACGCAAGACCAGACACAAGACCATCACAAGACCAGACACAAGACCAATCACAAGCCTGGACACAAGACTAGTCACAAGTAACAAAGTTATCAATGACAAATTAATGATTTTGTTGGAATTCATTTGAATATTTAATGACCTAATTGAATTCCGACTGGTAGTCTTATAATGGGCTTGTGATAGTCTTAAAGAGTCTCAACTACAACATTGCTCCAGATGCTTTGACCGGATTTCTGGACCACTTCAACAAGGAAAGATTCCAAATAATTCAGTCTAATGGAGGGCATCAATTAGCCAGTTTGGTATTTCAGAAAGCCAAGGTCGTCCGGTAACAATGCACACATGTGAGCCAGCGTATAGCTGCACTAATAGAACAGACTATCAAGTGCACAAAGCTGTTCCCAAATAGCCACGTACTGGGCATGTGCCAATGGAATACAGAACTGGCTGATTCCCGACGAGTTTTCCCATACCTCGCAGAGTTTTGACGTGGTTGCTCCCGTACGGCTTGGAGGTAAAGCTCCCGCAGAAGACAAAACAGGTTGGTGGCATCTCTGAGTAGCCGTTGAAGAGCGTGTTGAGCTTCTCACGGACTCGCAGCTGGTCCAGCCAGATGTCCGACACAAAAACAAACATGGCATCCTCGTTGTCTTTCTCTATGTCCAGGAGCTTGGCTGAGGACTTAGCACAGGTTGAAGAGGGACCCCCAAAGAAGTTCACACTGCCAAAATATGCTCTAATTGCAAAATAACACAATTACGAAAGTACTGGGTATTAAGTTTTCAACACTGGAAAAAATATAGAACTTTTTGTAAGAGACCAGGAAAGTGCTGAATAATCCTGAGGGAAACATACTCACTGCAGTCATTATAAACTTCAAGTGGCACACAAAATCTTTTAATAAAAATTAGCAAGGTGGACTAATCCAGTGTTGGGGTCAAACAGAAGAATTAATTTTTTTTATGCACATGCTGTGTATGCAGTCATGACATACACATCAATAACATCCGAAAACTTGCTACAAGCCGACGGTTTTAACTGTCATTTCCAGATGAAGGCACACGTCATGAAATATCAGTTGCCTATAAATAGACCTCATTCATGGTGGAGCCATGTTCCCTGATTCTACCTCACTCGATGTAATCTGTTAAATGGGGTGGTGCCAGACTAATTGGGGTTCCAAGTGTCATTTTCATTTTTTCCAACATGTGGTTCAAACATTTAGATGTAACAAGTTATGCACCAACATGAACTGGCATTGATTTTTATTTCATCACTTTCATTTCTACTCTCAGGTTTCCAAAATGAAAGCAAAACCTCCTTTTCAATTCAATATAGCTGACTTGTGAATAACGACTTCTTCCCAAAGTTTAAAAGTTCATATCATGATGCAGTACTGTGGATTTCTTCTATCGCATTTATCGGTGTATTGATAAATTGCCACATCCCTGTAAGTCACGACAGGTCACTCCAACTAAGTAGTTGATACATGCCTGGTAGCCTCTGCTGATTCGGGGGGAGGGAAACCGAACGCTGTGATGTGAAAGACCTGGTCCTCATACCACCCCTCTGCTAACACAAAACAGTTCTCGGTGAACAGACCGGTGTGGAACTGGTACACGGATCGTCAAAGGAATACAAAAGTCCTTTGTGAAAGTTGACTGGTCACCAACTATTTACCTGGTGTTCAGAGCAGTTTGCTTATGAAAGCTAGTTCAAAAGGTGTGAGTATACAAGTGGAAGTACATGAAAATGGGTCTTGGTCTTTAATCTCAAAGTTGCTTCTGAAAAGCCGACTTGAATTCCAACGTTTATTGTTATCAAGCATCAGAGCTGAATTTTTATGAGAAACCTTTTGAGAAACATGCATTTGAAGAATGTACAAACTCAAATAATCAGCTCTGAAACAGGAAAACATTATTTTAGACAATTTCTTTGATCAAGAAAGTTCCAACACATAGACTTTCGAATCACACTGGGTTTACTCTGGCAGGTCGTCTCACAAGGGCCTTTTCACCATGTATCGATACTTGTGTGTCAAAAACAGCTTCTCTCAGGATATTTATGGTTGAACTAAGGACAGCCCAACTACAATAATGTTACACTGAAGTTTAGTGTCCCAAGTACCATTCTACTGAGGCACTAGGTTACTGCACTCGTTGAATTTTTGTACAACTCAAGACAGTCGTTTCTAAAAATGTTCATGGAGGTGAGGTTAATGCATCTCTTTGGATTTCAAAGGATATTGCTTTGCTGAGGTCAAGCTGAACAGCTCCAGTGGGATCTTCCAGGAAAAACTTGCCCTGAAGAGAAAGAAAGAAGTTGGCAGCTTCTGCATACTTCATTTCACAAGCTACAATCACACCACAAGAAAACAAGAACTGTGAACTGATCCCACGCCACATTACATCAACAAAAAGGGTTCATATTTTTGTGTATCAAAACATATGCACTCTATATTATTTACAGCTCCTTTTGTCGCAACCAGTGAGGCAATTGTTTTATAATATTTCTACTTGCTGGAAATTTAAGCGTGATGCAACTCAAATTCCGATAAAGTGTAGAGTTCAGGACTGTGCTGAAGAAAAGCTGCTATTAATGTGCGAGAAGACAAAGAAACTTTGTTTTACCTCTTTGAGTTGAGTGAGCATGCCCAGCACGATAATTTCTCCCAGTTTAGCAGTGCTTCCCAACAGAAATTCCACAGGTTTAAGCTGTGATTAAAAAATACATAAAAGTTTGATTTTTTCCCCAAAGATAACTTTACAAAATAAGGAGGGCCTGACGTTTCAATCCTAGAAGAATCTTTCTCAAGGCAAAATGGCCATTTTAGGTACATTTTGCAATCTACGTGTAGATACACGAGCTTACACCTATACGTACACGTGAGCAAAAATTTTTTACTTTCAGGTAAAAATTTGTGCCTGAAACTAGTTTGGCCTTGACTATGGCTACCACTTGCAACATTAGTTAACAGGACATCTATACAAAGGCTTGGCATGGTAGCCATCTTGAAGGACAATTCTTTTGTTCCACATGGAAACCTCATTTTTGCATATCCTGAGAAACAAAAGCACCGACCTGCAAGATGGCAGCCATGCAAACCCTCTATAGGCTACAGAAGTCCGGCTAAGAGTAAAGTGGTCTGATTTACCAGTCAATTGAATCCTGTTAAACCAATGTACACACTGAATTCTCTGACTCTGGATTCTATAGATGAGGTTAAGTATTTAGGAATTTTACTCAACCGCCAATTAACTTGGTCGAGCCATATCAGTTCTGTTACCTCGCGAGAAAACAAGATGTTAGGATTTTTTTTTACCCAGTATGTCTAGAGGTATTTCGTCACAAACTTTTCTTTGCTTGTATAAGTCCTTGGTTTTACCACTCTTAGAGTATGGACAACCAGTGTGGAACCTATACACGACAAATCTTGTTGATATACTGGGACAGATTAAAAGAAGAGCTTCACATATTTTTCTAAAGCAGCGTAGAATGGAAATGTCTTATCAGGAGAGATTAGCTAAACTTAACTGGCAAACGCTGGAATCACGTAGGAAGTATTTGTTCATTTCGTTTGTTATCTGTTGCAAAGGGGTTAAGAGCAAACAGCCCAACAAAGCAATGTAGCCAAAAATTCAATAAATCAATTCAGCAGAACAATCAACCTGAAAACGGAGGGAAGAAAATATGAAACAGTAAAAAAAAATGACCCAGACCATACAGCACCTGAAATTTCCTGGTGTTGTTATCTGTGATAGCCCCAGGCACTGGTGGAGTGAACAGACTGTGGCGGGACGTCCGTTGGTGTAGCAATGTGTAACGCTCAAGGAATAGGTCAGCTTTAGCCTGGGCACCAGGATGGAGGCAGGGAATCAAGTTGTTCCTTCAAAAAATGAAAAAGTCATCAACTACCTTCGTATACAAGCACAAAGATCACTGAGTTAAAGGGTAGAAAGAAGCCTTTGTATTTGAAGGTTACCCAAAATATTTTTGTATACTGTTCCAAATGAATTTTACAAAAATTGTTTGAAGTCTGATTCCTGTTGCAATCCTCCCAGCGAGCCAGTTATAGTGGTTGGTCTTTTATTTCTGCACAGACTGTCAACTACACTCCGAGTGAGCCTCTATCAAACAAGACCCCGAAAGGGGTGACTCCGCCAATTGAGCATAAATTGACTTCGCTTAACGTGAGTTATCTAACAGGTGTTTCATATCCTTGGTGCAAAGTGTTCACCACTTGGTAATGTTCACATGTTCAAGGAATGCACAGACAGGAATATAAAGAATTCGGTGCAAGTGGCCAGCGAGGAAAAGTTGCCTTTTTACTGTTTAGGCTAGCTCATGGCACAACAGTCAACAAAAGTATGATTTTTGTGACATCAGATCAAATTTTCACATCACGAATTTGCAACAAAGTTCAACAAATTTCAGCTCAAGTAAATGTTGCTGTAAACCTTTTGTGCCATCAAATTTGCTTGGCCTGGCAATCGCCTGAACTATGAACAAGCCTTAGGATGGCCGGTGTGTGCACTAAACGAATACCATTCGTGTGCAGGTTAAGTAAAACACCAATTCACACCCCATACAAAATGCCTTATGCCACAGTGTCCCTGACAAAGCGCATAGTATAATGTGATTTTATTTCATACAGTCACCTCATAACAGCCTAGAGCAAGGGATTAAGGTACATGCATAAGCCAAGAGACACAAATGCACAGTTTTTATACAGGAAAATTACGAAACATTTTCACGTGTACTACAAAAAAAGACGAAATTTTGCAGTTCATTGTCTGGGCTGTGTAGGCCTGTTTTGCCTCACAAACCTTTCTTACCTTCATTTTGAGAGGACTTTTGACTGGAACGGGCCACAGCGTAGATATGTCATTGTGGCAAAGTTGAAACAAGTCAATGGAAGACTTTGAGACGATGATGACACACTAGTCCATTTTAAAAGTTCAGAACAATGCGCGCATGCTCAGAACTGGTAAAAAGGACCGGTATGTTTGCAACCAACAAGTGTCTCAATGTCTCCCATTGTTTTAGCCTTTTTTGGCACGTCAATATTGCATATGGTTGGGTTTGAGTCACTGTTGGCAAATGACCCATTCTGTGTTTTTTGATTGTCAGAGGATATGTGACTCAGTGATCAAATCTCTACATGGATTTGAAGAAAAAGAAATTCTTGCTTACTCACTTGAGGAATTTCTTTCTGTCATGGTTGTATGTGAACCTGGGGACGGTGAAGGCATCGATGACAGCAAACGCCCTCTCGCTCTCTTCTACCTCTCCCTCATTGCACTCATCTATGGCTGCCTTGAGTGTTTCCATGGATACCAGCGATGATGCCACTGTGCCATGTGTGGAGAAAAAAGAGTGTCACTTTCAATTTCATGGTATGCAACTTTTGTAGTTCAGCTCACCACAATTAATTTTAAACCTGCTGGAAAATTAAACCAAATGTATGACAAAGGTTGTCTGCCTTATTAAAAAGCAAGTTAGGGTTACTGTATTTCTGTATTTCTCAAATAAAAATTAGCCATTCTGTACATTTATTGCAAATGCTGCTCTAAAGAAAAAAATGTCATAAATTGAGAACACAACACTAATACCCCTGGAATTTTAATGATAAAAAGGCAAACTGAGGTCAGAATTCTTTATAGATGTATGGTCATTCATAATGCCAAATTTAGCGGGCGAAATGTTGGAGTGCATACTTATGCTTTCAGAATTTTTCAGACCAATCTCATGGTGTTTGTGTACCGGGTATTAAGTGATGTCTGTGTTTGGAACTTTTTCCCAAATGGGCACTCAATGAGCCATCAAAGGGAAATTGAATTTGGGATGTTAAGGCAAACTTACACGGCTGCTTCTGGACAGCTTCAATGATTCGCTCCAAGCAGTCATCTCTCTCACGTACATCATCCACTGATCCCAGAGCCTCAACCAAGTACTTGATGGCATCACTGTCATTATAAATTCAAAGTAACAAAGAGATATAATAACGTTAGGTTAGGGCATGTACTATGGGGCCAGCATGAAATATGATGTAACAAACTAAACAAAGTACATGTACATGTAGGGGCCTACATGTATGACTGTTTCATGACCAGGATGACTCATTCACCAGTTAACATTTTGATTGGCATGATGCATGACTGATGACTGGCATGATGGTACTTCGAGAACTTAAAGTCACTACTCCATCATACTCACACGGAGTATGACGGAGTAGTGACTTTGAGTTCTCGAAGCTGGGTGACAGGCAGCCTTCCATCACACGATCACATCAACATCACATTCAATCATGATCGATCAATCAATCATGTCACACTGCAACTCACACGACTCACCTGCGCAGAGACAAGCCATTCATCTTGAATGCTGAATTCACTTTAGATTTTACTTTTGCTGACATGTTACTATTTTCTCTGCCTGATAACGTAAATTTGAAGTTTGAACAGAACTTACAACTCTGGAAACGTTACTACTAGTAAAAAACTAGGCCTAGGCTACAGTTCAAACTGCAAGAAGACATGTAAGATCAGGGGTCAATTGCTTGATCCAAGATTTCCAGATTTCCCGCGGTTTGAGGGCGCCACCAATTTCCTAATACATGTAGTCAGCCCTGTCTAATCCCTAACCGTCGCTACACTCTGTCAGATACGACTTGGACGATATTGATCTGAACCCAGACTACATGCCCAGACCAGCCGACACTGTACTTCCACGTACGGCACCATCTCCATGCAGTCCGTCCGTACAAGACGTGCACATAGCTACGCCTAGCATGCAACAGTGCAATGGTAAACCGGGTAAACATTACCAGCCGCGGTTTTGTTCATCCGGCTGAGAGCTGGCTAGCCACGTCTACGCTTGTCGCCGGAAAGACTTGAAGTAGTCTCTATCGTCTTTGCCTCTCGCCATGACTCACACAACTTCGTAAATTTCATCTGTGAGCCTTCCCCTCTGCTAAGTTAGTCTAATAACTAAGTTCGGTAAAGGAAGGTAAGGTTGCTGTAGACCTTGTTGACGGTTGTTTCAACCGTTTTTTGCAACTGAGCAAGGCTAAGAAAGTATGCGTAGCTCAGACAGACAGTAGGCCTACCCCCAGAACTGTGGGTCCGATGTCCGCCCCGCTCCTACGTGGGAGCGGGGCGGACGTTGGACCCCACAGTTCTGGGGGTACATAGGCGCGCCTACTTTTAAGGTAGTCATGGTAGGCCTAATGATGCAAAGCAAGCTTGACCAGTGGCAGTCAATGGCAGTAGGCCTAGGCCCAGCTGTAATGCGTATCTAGCTAAGCTTGGGACCAACATGTTGCCCTTTTTTTGGGGGGGGGGAAGCATTCCACACATAGACGCCACTTGACAGCCTGCGCACAAACCCAATCATGGTCTGAAAAGTTCTATAAATGACCAGGCATGCCAGGCCCAAGGCCTACCACTTTTTTTTTGGGGGGGGGGGAAGTGAGAATCCTTTATGGGTGAAAAAATGTGGAGAGGGCTGTAGAAATCTCAACTCTAATTTTTTAAATTACTTTTTAACCTGTTCAGTGGGTTGTGGACTTGTTGAAACCTTTGTTTTGAGTCTGCATATGTGTTGGTATTCCTGCTTTACCACACAGTTACAAGATAAGCCAGCCAACTGACAATAACGGTGTGGTGTGTTTTTTTTATGTCGACCTACTGATAAATATAAATATTATCTTGAGGTTGTTATATTTGTGAAAAAGGACCTTTTCATGTTATGTATTGAAAAACATTTCATGTTCAGTATTTTCTCCTGCAATAGGATTCAATTCAAAATTTTCGTATAGTGAATTGAATCGATTATTCATCACTCATAATTTGACTCAAACTTGTAAACCGTGTTGATAGCTGAGTTCACCATGGCAGTCCATTGTGGCAGTGCTGTCATGTTGGTGATAGTCTTGGTTGCGGCAGTCTGGATCCATGCCTCCCACGCAGCCCTTAAGAACCCGGCGCCCATTGGACCGGTGGGACCAGCGGCTGGTGCTGATGCCAAAGCCGCCCAAGCTGACTGGACTGACTTCTGGCTGGTACGGCTGACCCTCAACATCCTGGGCTATGGCTCGGTTTGCCTGCCGGCCTGGCTGATCATCCGGTATGTCAAGCGCTCTGGCTACCTCGAGCGGGGAGGTGAGAACGGTAGGAGCAAGAATCCCCCCAATTCCTTCACGCTGCTTCTTCATCTCACTCACCTTGCATGCCAGGCTTGGACCTTTGATGTTTTAATGCTCTGCTCACATATAGATTTCCGCACATCATCTCATCTTGTAATGCAAGTTTTAGAAAGCTAGTTGATGTGTGTGTCAAAAGGCAACTACGGTATAAAAAAAGAGCACATATGGTATTTGGCAAAGAAAAAAGGTTGAAATGAGTAAAATTCCTCTTTTTGCATATTTCTGTTGCTCACTCTCTGAAAGGTTACAGTGCTTGAAATATAACATTTACAGGGTTAGGACGTCAAATTCAAGTCCTGGTTTGCTGCAGAAGCCTGTTCAATGTAGGATTTTATGTACATGTATCATTTTTTAATGCTAGACAGCACATAAAGAATGCATCATTGTCTTACTGCACCATGTCGAATTGCTTTGTGGATTTGAGGTTAGGAGATTACTAGCTATTACAGCTTTGAACAATTATGTGTTTGTTACTACTAAACAGCAAGTTAGACGGCAGTCAAATGCCTTAGTAACCTCATAGTAAGTTTTAACTCTGTTTAACATAAGCTGTCTGTACTCAAGTCTAACTCCGGTTTACAGAAACTGTTGTTAGCACACAATCGTTATGCAGACTTGTTACATGCACATTATACCATTTGCAGTGTTTCCTGTTATTCCACACTGTTAATCAAGGTTACAGCTTTTAGTCCGAGTGGTTCCCAAATGGCAAATATTTACAGACACTGACTGCAATCCTGAACAATTGGCCAGAAAATAATATGTACTGAGCACTACAGAAAAGCTGCATCCGAATTGCTCCGTTGGAAATGTGTGGAGACGCGTAGACAATAGACCTAGCCGTAGCTCTGGAAGCCCATTTCGGACACAGCCTTAATGGTTGCAAAATGATGCATAATAGCCAAATCTTTGGCTACTCTTTGAAATTTGCCGGCTTGAATTCTGACCATGCTTGTTTGTCTTATAGTCTAAATGCTTCATACATGTACTCATATACTGCACTGTAATTGGCTTTCACCCAAAGTGGTCAATGAGTTCTGGTTAACATGTAGAAACTTTCTGACTAGACTTAAGCCACTGAAGCTTCACTTACATGTGAAATAACATGCACACTGTATTAACATGTAACATAACATGTGCAGCACAGTTCTCTTAATATTATGCACACCAAGCAGCAAGTTTGGGTAAAGTCCATGGCCGTTATGAGAGAAGAGTTGTTGCACTTGTCTTCCTTCTTCCTTCCCACCTCCCATCGGAAAAAAGTGGGGAGGAAAAAAGAAAAAGACAGAAAAAGGAAAAAGAAAATGTAAAAAAAGGAGGAAAGGGTGTGAAAATTCCCAAATTTCTGGGGAATACCACTGATATACCTGTTTTTAACAACCTTCCACTGTGTGCCATGTGGTTTTTTTTTCAATTTTTTTCTGACGAGTGCTTTGACGACCCCCCCTCCCCCACCAGGAAAAGCTTTTCCCCTCTTGATGATGCCCAAGGGCAAGGCTAATAGACCATCGGAACTGTAAAGCTTTGATGTGGGTGACTAATATTCAAACAACTAATTAACATTTGTAAAGGATAGTGAATATTTCAGCATCTGCACAACAGCTGTCATGTCACAGAACACACAAACTGACTCCACCTGCACTTTGCCTGTTCACTAATATGTTTAATATTTTCACAATTAACATACAACATTCGTATAAGATATCTTTCCTCTGTAATTAATGCATTGAAATTAACAAGCTCAAATTGTTTGGGGATGCTTTGTATACAACCTTATAATTAATGTTGACTGTCCAACAAATTTTTATTTTATATCATTTGGCTCAGACACACCAGTATGCAAATATTTGCCCATGATTTCAACTGAAGTCAGCTTGTCTTTTTTTCTGCTGCATTTCTTTTTCTGATTAAAGAGTGATGAATGGAAATTAAATGTGATGTAAAAAGTTGTCCTGAACACCATGGGTTATTTTTGTTTTGGGGTGGGTTTTTTTTGTTTGTTTTTTGAAAATAAAATACATGAAACACAAAGCAACAACAATCTAGAAAAAAAAATCGGTAGAGCAGCTGTTTGTCTAGGTTTCATTTTGGCTGGATTTCACAAAATGATCAACTGAAATAAACATATCTTCACAATTTATGTTATTATTAAAAGTTTGAAAACACTGAGTGCTGTGAGTTTCCTCACAAGGTTTGACACATTGAAAAGAGTCCTTGAATACTGTGCACATTAATGCCTCAAGTACATGCAGATTGTTTCAACTTATCATTGCAGAACTGTTTGGTTTGTTTCCATCGAAAAACACATGTAGGACATGTAGCTTAGAAAAATGTAGAATGAACTCAGAACAAATGTTTTTTGTTACTCTCGAATTCTGCGAAAAACTCCGAACTCCATGTAAAAAATCTGGATTGCTCATTGGCAGCAGAAAAAATGACACTGCATACGGTTTCCAATTCTTCCATTGGAACGTACAGAGGGAACCAGTCTTAGCCACTGCTATCATTCAGACAAAATCTCTCCAAATCTGTTGTTCGTAGAATGGTTGTATGGGGGACATTACCTCCAGCAACCAGTGGGCTATCCAGTTTCCAGTCGGAGTGTTTCATGAAACATATCTACCAGACCATGTGAACAAAGGACCCCTACTTTCGCAAATCGAATTACTTATTTAAGCCAACCCCCCAAAGCAAGTATTAACACCTTGCTTCTTGTTGTTTGTCACTCCAAAGAGGCAGCTCTACATATTTGCAAATACGAGTAGTGTTCTGTGTTGAATTTACTGGGAACATGCGCCAGCAACAAGTGTGTCAGGCTGTGGGTGTTGATGGTCCAATTTGTCCTTTGGAGATTGCTCTGTGTTGACTGAGCTGGATGTCTTATTCAGGGGTTTATTTGTTTCTGTTGGCAGGCCATAGTTGCATGTTTAAGACCTCACTGATTTATTTTTTTCTCTTGGCAGGCCATAGTTGCATGTTTAAGACCATCCGTGTGTGTGTGGCTGGCAATGAAGAGAAAGCAAGCATCGAGGAAGGAGGGATAAAAGGAAAGGTCCCAGAACCACCTAAGGTAACAAGAAAGAGGGACTCTTTTGAAATTAAGAAAAGAAAAACAGTGGAACGCCACTGTAATGAACACCAGTTTGCTGGACATCTGGAAATACTGAATATCCCCCAGACTCCCAAATAATCTTTGCACTTTAGCCGAACATTCAAAATTTGCTTGAAATAATAGAAACATCATTAGAACTGATGGTAATAGGAGGAAAATCATGCTCTTTAAGGAACAGCGGCAAGCACGAGGCAGGGCCTGTTATGCCTGTATCGTTCATTGTCGGCATGGCCACAGGCGGTCATGTCAACCGGCTGCTGAGTAGGTGTTTTTATTCCTATGGTATATGCATATGGTATATGTGACATGGCGATTCCGATGCAGAAAACTTCGCAAGATAATCGCTACAAAGCTGGGGGATTTGAACACAAAAAAATTCACAGAAACAGACAATAAATATGCAGATAGACCATAACATTTGTTACTTAACTTGCAGAATTCTTTGATGATGTCACTAATTTTGATCGTCTTCCAAAATGCTTGCCTGAGATTTTGTTGGCGACTTTGGACATGTATCCACTGCCAGTGTTACTGTCTAAGAATGGTTCCCGATGCAGCCCATTTATCAAAGTGCCATTATGCCAACAGTATAACTGTGCTACATGTCACAGGACTCAAGGAATACTGATACTCCCAGCGAGGACTACCTCCAAGCTGGAACATGGAAGGAGGTGAACCTCCGTTGAGCAAAATGCAGGAATTTCATTGTTTTGAACTTCATCTTTTTCATATAAGTGTTGGCCCAAAATCCTCAAACCGAAACACTTTGTGGGCTAGGCCAACACAGATTTGAAGGGGCTGGAGTTCGGAATGAGTCTGTGCAGGCAATGACTGAAAATCGTTACATTGTATACCAAACATTTTTTGTGGACCCTGTCTTGTTCGTTATAGCGCCTTCCACTATAAATCCGTGTCTTATAATTAAAAAATTTTATTTGTACTGAAATAGAGCCTGTTACAACGAGCAAGTTTGGTGTTTCAGAAAAGCAATGTCATCTCAGAACAAAGCATGCGAGCTTGAACATGTTCTGCGTGTGTGAGTTGGCATATGACCGCATTGGTAGCGCTGACATTGCTCATTATGTTGCTGTTCTCTGATGACCACTGACACGTTCCATTTCGGGCATACCTTGGTGGAATACCAAAGTGGTTCATTGAGTAAAGAGTTATACATTTGTATTCACAAGGACGAATGGTATCACCAAACTTCTGATTGGAAAATGATCAAAATGTATGTTGTTATTGGCCTTTTACCTTTTTTTGTTTTCTTAGCATAACCGAGCCTTGGTCCTTGTCTCCTGTGTGGTTGGTCTACAAGGATCGTACCTCACCTGGGGTGTTCTCCAGGAGCGCATCATGAAACACGAATACGGCAAAGATGAGAGCAACCCCGGGGAGAAATTTGCTAACTCGCAGTTCCTGGTCTTCATGAACCGCATTTTGGCCTTCACGGCGGCCGGCCTGATCATACTTGCCACCCGACAGCCCCGGCACACCGCTCCCCTCTACAGGTATTCCTACTGCTCCCTGTCCAACGTCATGAGCAGCTGGTGCCAGTACGAGGCCCTCAAGTTTGTCAGCTTCCCTACCCAGGTGCTGGCCAAGGCCTCCAAGATCATCCCCGTCATGCTGATGGGGAAGGTGGTCTCGGGCAAGTCGTTTGAATACTTTGAGTACGTGACGGCCGCCATGATTTCGGCCGGCGTGACCATGTTCCTCCTCTCTCAGGGTAAAGAGGCAACTGGGCCCACTACAGAGACGACCTTTTCGGGGGTGATCATCCTCATCGGGTACATGATGTTTGACAGTTTCACCTCCAACTGGCAGGCGGAGCTGTACAAGCAGTACAACATGTCCAGCATGCAGATGATGTTTGGAGTGAATCTCTTCAGCTGTGTCTTCACCAGCTGGTCGCTGGTGAGTCAAGGCGGCTTCACCTACGGGATGGGGTTCATGCTGAACTACCCCACCTTCATGTTCCACGTGCTGCTGCTGTCGCTGTGCTCGGCCACGGGTCAGCTGTTCATCTTCTACACCATCTCGCAGTTTGGGGCGGTCGTCTTCGTCATCATCATGACCACCCGGAGTGGGCTTGCCATCTTCCTGTCCTGCCTCATCTACGGACACCCCGTGACCGTTGTCGGTGTGCTCGGCGTGCTGATCGTGTTTGCCGCTCTCTTCTTGAGAGTCTTCTTGCAACAGCGCAAGAAGGCACAGAAAGCACGTGAAGCGAAACAGACAGAGCTCAGCAACGGTAACAAGGTTTGAACCAATCAAAAAGTTTACTCGTCTAAATTAATGGCTTTAGTTTTACTTTGGAACTCGGACAACAATTTGTTGAGTCGCTTTGTTCCAGTTCACACTCATAGCCTCTTTTGAGGTTGTACATCTCGAGGCAGGCTATGTACACTCACTGCCACCCATTGGACTCTTGTAGTTTCGTGTCCATGTCACGTCACCTTGAAATCTCCAGAAAGTAGCCCATTATATTGACAGGGAATTGGGAAAAGGGAGTAAGTTTGTATTACACAACGGCTGGTATCTTGAAATGACTTTTGATTCTGTGGGCTACGGTCAACACTGCTCCTGATTCATTAAGCCTTCCTGACTTTATGTTCAAAATGTTTCATCTCTGCTTGAACTGGTTAATTCACAATTGCTGGATGATTTGGCATGGAATGACCAACAGATTTCTGTTGGACCTGTGGGCTACCTGTAGCACTAAATGTGTTTTGTTGCACATTTGAGCTAATGAGTTATGTAAGCACATACGCCATCCGTATTCTGTACTTTGTCGAAAATTACAATGGAATTTTTGGCGGGAGATTTTTTTTTATGCTATATTTTCCTCATGTTCAAGGACAAAACTGATGGTTGTATGCATGTTAAGTGTAATTTGTGTAGATGCTATGCGTTGCTGGCTTCTAGGCTGTGTCTGTCATTTTAATTTAGTTAAAATGAATGTACTAAAGGTTTACTCGATCCTATGCCAGTGATACTTAGCTCTTGGCCTTTGGGGACACCTAAATGCATAATCTCTATTGTAACTACTAAAGGTGACGAGTCATTCACTGAAAACTGACTTGGAATGATGAGATGAAGTATGGCTTACTTTGTGAGGGGGATGTAGCTGGTGTCCTTGTGGTGAAACGTTTTAATGATGCGGGTGAATCAAAGGGCCGGTTTGTTCCGCACGGATCTGGATCTCGATCAGTGATCCCAAAGCTGGTTGGCTCAGCATCAGATCACTGATCTCGATCAAGATCCGTGTGAAACAAACAGGCTCAATATGTGCCATATCCCAACCGAGAGCGCTGTGGGTGTCGGCAGGAACTTCAAGATGTGTTTCCAGTATCTTGGACTTTTTGATAGGTGGAAAATTGACTCTATGGCCAGTAGTCATTCAGAGGGGCAACTGTTTGAAAAGTTTGTTTTCCCTGATTGAAGTACAATATTAGTAAGGTAGTAAAGGTGATGACAGGGTGTAG